TATTATATCGATTATTATATCGATAAGGTATTAAATTGTAATACAAATTAACAAGTTCTTAATGACATTGCATAATAATAAAAATGATTATATGTTGCTTTGTTTCTGTCATACACATAGTTGCTTTAAATAGATGATGTACAAGAATATTAATTTGCATATAAATTTGAGAGATATACATATGCCGGTATTTATAGCCCAATATTATTATATATTCAAGATCGTCTTAAGTATAATATCGAAACTGTACATTTCATTGGCTGGATGGAATCTGAAGACTGTCTCTAGCAGATTAGTGCCCGTTATTCATAATCAGGCCTTATATTTAAGATTTCCTTAAATTTATCTTCAGATACTCTACGAATTATTTCATTGGCTACTGAGCATCTAAAAATAAATTTAAGGAAGCCTTAAGTACAAGGACTGACTATGAATACGGGTATAGATCTTACTGAGTTGTCCAAAAAGTTGATGAGTTATTCTTCAGAAAACGATTTTCATATATATTATTAATAATCATTTTTGGAGGATAATTCAAAACTTTTTCGACAACCTATTATATAAACTATATATACATATATATATGTATATTATATATATATATATACTTATATATACAAATATAATTTATTATTTAAATTTAAAGATGCGTTCACTTTCTGTAAGTCGTTTTACATTTCTTTTCACGATCACGGACGATTCTGATTTCTCCGCATCGCTTTATGGCGTTACAAATCGGTCCAGGATTCCAAGCATACCGGCTGATTTGAGATAATCCCAACTTCTTTCGACGGATTTGTCGCACGCGCCCGTAAATGGCGCGTGTTTCAACCGCTGTGCATTCTCCACGCGCACGAGAACTGGTTGTTTCGCCGTTGCCGCTGCCACCGTTGTGTTACTGTTGCTATTGCCATCGTATCGCGGCTCGTCGTGGCTCGCTGTTCCTGGTGTCGAGCCCGTATGCGTGCACGTCCAATGACCGGACGAAGAACTGTGCAAAAACTTGAAAAACCAAGTGAACACGCGCTCGCATACACAGCGTTACGCAATCTTGCGAATCCCGTTGTCCCCCTTCATCGAGAACTGTCCGACTATCCGTACGCAGCTGACCGAGTGAACACACGACGATCGGACCAGGACCTGGCTACGCAATCACTATCTGCGAAAGACAGTCATCCGCGATGCTTTTAGAACGTCGCCACTTTTCCCGAGGCAATCCAAGACCTAATATAGTAGAAGCGCGATACCGGATCAATTACACCGCGTAGACGACTTTGAGCGATTCGATCGAACACGCAATGTCCGTGATACACGTAAATCTGTGAGTAAATCATAACTTCCTAACACTGTAATGCTTGTAAGACGTACTCGTCTCTCGCGTGCGATTTCTCTCACGTCTAAACTCGATTGAGCGTGAACTTCTTCGAAGAGCTGTGCCTTGGATACCATTATAGAATTTTCCATTATAGAATTTTCAAATCTATTCAGCCGCGAATACGACAATATATACTTATTGCGAATAATACGAGAATAATATATTTTGTCCGTCATAAATGAAAAAAATACACAGGAAATTGTTTTTTAATTATTCAAAATTTGCACCCGATATATTGCGCGATTCCAATTGTGAAATGGCCGGAAAGGATCAAATATGTGCAAAGGGTACGTTCTTATATGACCAATAAATCGTCTGGGAAACGGAAGCGCCATTTGGCGTCGCACCGATGGCGCACATATGTATATAGTTAGATTCCTACGTGCAGAATGGCATCACAATCTCCTTCAGTCGTGGCGACGGCTAAAGATCATCTGGTATACGAGGCGAGTTATTTCCAACACATTCGAATCGTCGCAATTCGAGATTGCCGGTAGAAGATTGCACTGTCGTTCAACGCCTCGTTCGATGCGCATTTCGGTCGTACGCGCGTTTCGCGGGGATTACGAGACAGTCACCTGTCGCTTGTCGACTACGACCTACGATTTCGATCCATCACGATCTCCCTCTAACGCAGCACAATCTAAGGATTTAACTATACTACAATCAACTATTACAATCTATAACTATCTGTAACTACAATCTGTAGCTATTACAATCAAAAAATATATATAATCTATAATGAATTCGAAATTCCTAAAAAATTGATTGCATTCGTGTCAACTTGGACTCATTAGATCTATTTTTTATTCCTACATCAGACTGCATTCTCTTTCTCGCTTTCGCCAAATCTTTAAGTTTCAAAAGTATACACTGGTTTAATCACAGAAAACAGACTAATTCGACCGTAATAAGCATTTTTTTAGTATTGATTGAGATTGATTTACGCTAGTAATTATGACATTTCCCAGTGCAATCAAGCGACACAAACATGTTATTCCTTAATCCTTGAAGTTACCGATACCTCGTACGAACAAGTTTCTATACAAGTTTCTGCACTCGGGCAGTCATCGTGTTATTTCGGATGACTCAATAACATCGATGCAATGGTCATCAGAAAGTCAATCGAATCGTTGAATATATATACTACTGAATCAGACCAAGTGGACCGTGAATTTGACCACTGTGGACACTTCATCGAATAATTCGTTATTCTCGGTCGAGACGTGTACCGCTACACGCGAACTTTCGAGATTTCGGTCCGTTACCAGCCCGCCCACGTAGCTTCTCGGTCAGGTGGAACCCAGAATCCGTGTCCTTCGGCGGTTTCGGCAGCCTTTGCGATGATATGACACGAAATTTCACCTTCCGCATCATGTTCCGTAACTCGCGTGCGTTATGCGCTAAATCGATCGTGACGCAATATCGTAATAACGGGAGAAGAACGTGGGAACGCTGGTATGTTGCATAGATACGCGGAATTGCTTCTTATGATCTCGTAACATATGCGATAACTACACTTTAACAAGGCACGATCGTACTAAATCTCAAAGAAGAATCAGTTTAGTACGGCTGATTCTTGGAAATGAAATCTATATATGTTGAGACATAATGATTGATGTTGGCAAAATGTATTATAAATATAAGTAATTTTTTAAATTAAGTAAATTGGAAAGGTAAATGTATTTTTTCGGATTTAATAAATATTGATCTTGACTATAAGTATACCAAGATCCATTTCGTAGACGCAATTCTATTAAATATTAATATAATTAATCGCTTTTTTATTTCATGTTGTTCAATTCATGATGTCAAATTATACTCAATTTGAATTAGTTTTAATCTGTAATACAAGTCGCCATTGCTCCTACTCATATCGTTCATTTAATTAAAATTTTAAAGTTAGACAATTTAACTTAAGAAAATATATTAAATTCGACTCAAAGTTTAGTTTATTATTTACTAAGTGCATATAAACGTTGTTCACTTGAACATGTGACTAAACATGGGAGTTAAAAATAACAAAATGTTATTTAACTCAAGGGACTGAGTTATCATTGCTTTTTTGGTATCTAAGAGTGCACAATTGGAAGATAAGATACATCTTGAGACGAGTTACATTCTAAAATCGATCAAAAATTTTCCTCGAATACGGAAGCCTAATCGAACGATATGTAACCGACCTATCGACCGCGGGCATTGCGCGCTCTCGAAATTTCTGGAGGGTGCGAGCGGCGAAAGACTGCAAAGCTGCGTCGTAAATTAGTACTCGATGACCGTGCGAGCGAGACCGCGCGCACCTTTCGAAGCAACGGGTCTTCTCGAGGCAGTTTTATCGTCGGCCGACAGGCGTTTAACTTTACGAGCAGCCACGCCACGTATATACTCTATCTCCTCCTCCACCTCCTCCTCGTCTTCTCGCTTTCTTTCCCCATCTCTTTTCGCTCCCTTCACCCTTTGCTCGTTCTCCTGCGTGCTCTTCGTCACTCTGCCCTTCTCTTTCTTTCTTGCGTACACCTCTCTTCTAGGCACAGGCATGCTAATTCACGTGACGCGCGTAACATTAAACCCTGACGTTTAATCCGGTAGAAACGCGCGTGGCTTACACACCGACCGTCGACCCTTTATATGGTTCGGTCGTATAGAGGTTTCTCTCTCGTGGACGTATCTGGTAATATCCGGCGCGAAAGTACGGCGCGGGCCTCTATCGCGATAATGCTTCGTTTGTCTCGATAATCCGATTAATTTATATGGATGAGCCGCACGCCGCACCGCGGTTCTCCGCGATTCTCCGGACATGTCGAGGGTCAAAGGTTGGGTCGAGAGCCATCGCGCGAAAATTCATGATCGTCCGACGACCGTAACCGCGAAGCTGTTAGGTAGGTATCCGGTGCGACGACGATAAGTACATTTGTAGATCAATTTAACGAGCAACACGCATTAATTTCTACGAATGCGTCAGCGAAATATTCCGTTCCTTAATCTCACCGTGTGATTTTAAGTGACATAAATCTGGAAGTATCAAGTGCCAAGGCGCTTGGAATGGCGCTATGAAGTCGATAATAACGCTATTATTGCAAAATAATGATGCACCAAATTTGTAATTTTTTTCCGTAAAATTTTTCAAGATATCAATTTCGAATTTAAAAAAAATACTATGATATTATCTGAACGTTACAAGGCGCTTTGAATAAACGTGAAGTCGATAATAACGTTATTATTGCAGTACTGAATTTGTAATTTCTTTTTGAGCAAAATTTTTCGAAGTGCAGTTTCAAATTTTTAAAAATAGAAACTGATATCCCAAAAAATTTTTCGCAAAAATTACAATGTTGCAATAAAATAGCATAATTATCGACTTCACAATCAGGACTTTATAATCTGCGCTTGAAAATACTACTCGAATGCCTCCGAGTATCATTTTATCTTCATTTAATTCAGTGAACAACAAGGATAAAATGATACTTGGAGGTACTTGAGCAGTGTTTGGAACACGGTCGTGAACGTCTTGTAACATCCAGATAACATCAGAGTTTAAATATCGAATTTTTAAAAAAGAAACTTGATGTTATTTGGATGTTACAATGTGAATAATTAATAAGATAACTATAATTTTCTGTTACAGTCATTCTTCGGTCGCACGTATAACAACCCCACTAACGTGACAGCATGTAAAAACGGCGGCAACTGCATAATCAATAAGAGGAATCGAACGGCTTGCAAAGCTTGCAGGTTAAAGAAATGCCTAGACGTCGGTATGTCCAAGTCGAGCTCACGCTACGGACGGCGTTCGAATTGGTTCAAGATCACTTATTTTTCGGACCAGATGAGACGTAATTCAAATGAGATAACATCGCTCCGTTCTTCCGGTCTCACGTCCTTCCGTTTAAGTTATCCGCCACCAATTGACGGCAACAACGAGATAGATAACGGCGCGTCGACCAGTCAGGAAAACCCAGCGGTCCAGTATTCATATCACACATCATCTGCAATACTACCGAGACCAGACGAATCGCCCCATCCCGACGATGTAGCTTTATATCATCAACTCTATCTGCGTAATTGGTATTTGGGGGAACATCAGCCACAGCTACCATCCATCACAACACCACCACCCACATCGAGGGAAGTTTCATCATCACCGCAAGACAATCATTCGCCACGACAACAGAGTCCATCAGCGGAAACTTCGACATTCACTCAGGGGACGTCGTTTCATTCGTCGGATTCTTACCGATCACCTATACCAGCGGAATCAATGTCCAGGAATAACACTAGAAACGCTGATGGATCCGAGAGCGAGTCTAATGATGACGATCATCGTGATGTACAGTCCAGGAGCAGTTCAAGTCAATCACCATTCACACCCACGAGAACAAACGAACAAGATCCGCCCATACCCAGAGTATCGATCAACGGCATGCTTATGCTCACGGGTCAACATCCCCTGTTAGTATCTGGAGGGATGTTCACGTCAGGATCACATTCGTTACCAGCTCCATGGAGGTATAACAATCTACTTCTGAGTAATTCTGATAATAGCAATTCCGCTGGCGACGAACCGATTGATCTCAGCATGCGAACAAGTGGCAGTCCATCGCGATCCAGAGAATCGCCGGAAAAAGAAGAGAAGGAGGAAGAACAGAACGAAAAGAACGACAGGTCGCCCAAGGAAGAAACCACGGCGTATCCGCTCGATCTGACACTTTCCGCTGGTACGTCCTTGACGGCGAATTGTTTTGTAGGTTCATGAGTCGGTTGGATCGATTTTAATTCTCGAAATTTCGAGCTCAAAAAAAAGTTAGAGACCAAACGATGGACAATATTCATAATAGTTACAATTTCATTGATGAAGTGAATAGAAATGAATAACTTAGCGAAGATTACGATGTATATATAATTATTTTCGCGATGGAAAAAACCATGTTAAAGTGGAACTAGAAAATGCTGGTCATTTTGGCCATTGTCATAGGTAGTACCATCATAAAAATGTGTTCATTTTATACATATATATAACAGTACTTGAAACGATTAAATCGACGCGATTTATATTGGTTTAATTTATTTTAGACTATCTGGGATATATATATGTGTATATATATATATATATATATATATATATATATAATTGGTGCAGTTGTTTTAAATCAATACCATTTTATCTATATAAACTAAGAAATTAAATTAACAATTCATTAATTAATATTTCAAAAATATTATTACTGATATAGATACTAAAATATTAGAGAAATTTTAGTCCGATTCATAGACGTTTTTAGTCGTCGTTTCAAACAAATGAACAAATACATAGACTCAATTTCATTATTAATATAAATAGTTGAGAAATTGGCTACATTTCTGTTGAGAAATGCGCTACATTTCTGTTGACAAGATAAAAATAAAGATTATATTTTATATGTGTAGTGAGCCAGAGTGAGATATATTGGCCAGTAAACTAAAAGCTTTAGTATATTTATATTAATATATCATACAGTCACGCAGATACACATAGATACATACACATATACGTAGAGATATCTTATGTATGATATTTCATCAGATTCACTTAATATGACTTATTGATGGTACGGAAAGATGGTAAAAAATATTATATTACTACTATTATTATTACCATTAGTATTATTATTGTTATTAGATTCGATTATTATCATCATTATTATTATTATTATTAAAAGAATATTATTATTAAATATTATTTATCAAGTATTCCGAGGAAAAAATCTATAAAAAGCAATAATATAAATACATACGAAAATAAATATACGTAAGGTGAATGATTTATGCAATAATACATATGTATATTGCACTCATAAACAAATATAAAAAAGTGTTCGGAGAAAAAAGGATTATTATTCATAAATTGATATATGTGACAATATGTCTAAATTTCCATATTTAAATATTCTCGTAATATTATAACTGAAGAAATGTATGTACAATTTCATTCTACATTGCGGGATAATCAGCAAATCTCCTGTAATCACTCTCTAATGTTTTTTCCCGGAATTAATTATTATAGATAATAAATTTCTCTATTCGAAACCCATAGAATAAAATGACATGTTATGTAATGTCAATATTTCGTAATATGAATTGGCCTTAACAAAGAAAAGACATCAAGGTTAAATAATATTTTATACAATAAACATCATATACTGATTTATAGATAATGCAAAATTGAATCTTTTTAGATTTATCTTTTTTCACGTATGATTGAAAAATTCTAGAATTCACACATTCAAGCGGAAGAAAAATGGTATGGATATGTTTTCATTTCTTTAGATACATTCAAAAAATCGATATATAAATCCGTAAAGGCCGATTCAATTTTTACAATTCTCGTACTTAATTCTTTTATCTTTTTTTACTAGTCTGGAATTTCGATTTTGTGATTACTATTTATCATTCTTAATGTCGACGACATTAATTAACGATGATGATAAGTACACTTAGCTTTATAATTCCTTGTTGAAGACATTCTAAATATATAAATTTGTATCTAAATTCAAAGGAAAACAAGTTGTAAATAAATCTTTATTTAAAAAAAACCATTAAAGAAACATCAATATGGACTTTTATTACAATAAACCAAATGTTTTGTCAACCAGAACGAATTACGACAGGAGAAACTTAAATGATGTTTAATAACATAATGGATCAATCTCACTTCGCTTAATGCGGAAGCGAGCGTATCGATAAACATTTACTTCGAAAGCGATACTCTTTAAATTTGTGTGTTTCAGATTTATATGCCCATTCAGCTTGTCTAAATGCTCGTATCATGAACCGCGAATATTTTCGATGTTAGGGACATGTGATCTTGATCAATAATCGAATAGTTTGTAATTATAATCAATTTTCGTCAATTCTGAAAATTATAGAAGTCTTTTTCGTGCGAAACTGCTACTACGCACAAATTATGATACAAATTTTTTTATTTTGTATATATGTATATAACAATGTGCAACGTCCCGACTCTACAAATGCATCGCATCATTCAAACATTAATCAATTGCAGGAGGAAATACGAGCATTGCAAAATCATCGAGTTACCAGCTCACGCGACTAACCTTGGGAAATCAATCATTTTTTTTTATATCCGGATTGAACGATACTTAATATTTTCTTTAATATCATGCTTGCCATTCAAAAATTTATAGAATTCTACATTAATCTAGGTTTTAACATATTAATATTTTTTTCATTAATTATATTATAATAGATACAAATTTAGTACGTTTATAATAAATTTTATACTACATCGTAAAAGTCGTAACAATGTATGTAATTTATGTAATGTATGTAATTTATGGCAGCATTGAAAAAAATTGTATTGAATGTACCACTCTCAAAATTTTTTAATCATTTCGTAAATGATATAAACATTGATTTATCATGTTCTCTCAATTGAAGGGATGGGCGGAATAAAGGCCTAATTATGAAATCTTGATATTAATAAAAATTAAAATAATTTGCTACTTTTTTATTATACACAAATGAGTACAACATTAAATGAATTTTTGTAATGTCTTTAAGAAGTTACATGTTACAATACTTCTCTATTACGATTATTACATAAAAAAGCTAATTGCCGGAAAAAGAGTCTAAGTAGAATTGTGCCTTTATTCCGCTCATTCCCTCAATTATCATATTAGCTTTCTATAAAATAATAATTTGAAAAGAGACGCGGGATATCTTGATTCACTCATGAAATGTAAAAACGATGAATTTTCTGAAAAAAATCAAAGACGCTTAAATAATCAATCTTAAATAAATGACAAAATCACCAATGATCTGTCAGGTAGGCTCGAAAAAAATTGACCGAGTCGAGTTTGGTGTATCAACTTCTGGGACAGACAGTTGATTCAATACAGATGATCGAGACCGATGTGTATCACGATATCAGAGTCCAACAATACTCAGTAAGTACACGAATCAAAACGTACAGTTCCCAGCGGTGTATACATACGCATAGCCGCGTGTGTGTATGCACGTACTAATGCGGATAACAAACGAGCGAGACTTGAGGCAGTGCGTCAGTCCACAGCGACTGGTTATACCAGTCAAGCAATAAGCAATCGCTTAAATCCGTCATGACTCTATGCATGAGAGTTGGGCAACACTGCCGCGGCAACAGGACGATTTTAACCGTGAGCGCGGCTCCCGTTCGGCACGAGTGAAATATCGATAGACGAGCCGGTTTACGAGTCTGCGACACGGTCGCTAGTCTCACGTTGCAACGCGCAAAAGCGAATTTTCACGAGGACGGCTATGATCAGTCCCGCAGAGACTTTATACGCAAACGTAAATTTCCAGAAATGGAATACATAAACGTCAAGAAGTGATTGATTAATGATCGTATCGCTGCTTGATCTGTTTGCGTCACAGAAATTCGTTTAGCGATTGTTATTATTCGTACCATAATGTATAATGAGAAATAAAAAATATTTATCATACTTAATTTGATGTAAATATAATTGATCATATTTAATCATTTTGTAAGTATGTGATATAATTACACAGAATTTAAGTTTTTTTATTTACTTTTTAAATTAGCTCTTCTAATATCAATCTTAATCCTTTTGTTTTCTCTTTAAAATATATTCAAAATATCGAGGAAAATTTTTACATAAAAAAAAATTATCGAAAAAAAAGTTGTGACAAAGTCAATTTGAGATATTAAAATTAAATTTACCTAATTAATAACAGAATTTTGCGTTTATTTATTTTTTTTCAATATAAGAACCTATCAATAAATGAACAATTTCGCTACGAATTTCTTCAGCATCAGATTATATCGTAATAAGCAAAATGCGCAAAATAAAGAAATTTACATCGAAATTTGAAACTGACCGAAGAGATCGTTCGGACTTCAAGAGCAAATGCTAATCACTTTCTTTTCTACTCGCAAAAGATCTATTCAACGATCAACGGCAACAAGAGAGAAACGTACAATATGCAGACCATAATACACAGAATGTCAATGGTTCTCTTAGGACATAAACAAGTTATCGATAACAAATACAAGAATCGACTCAACTACCAATTATTTAAATTCAACAATACAAATAAGAAATCATCGAGAGATACCGTGTGCGGTTTAGTTACGCTGCCCATTTTCTCTTTCTTCACTTGTCTATTTCCCTCCTGATCAAGCAAATTGATAACTCAAAGAATTGACTGTAATAACACCTAATTGATTGCGTGAAATGCGGCGTTCGCGTAAAACCTCGCTCTGGCAGCGCAGCCGTGAGTAATGAGCCGTGTATCCGCATAATTATTAATTCTTAGAGTCGTTGACGGTTTTATAAAGTAGAACTATTCATTTTGTTTGCAAAAATCATGTTACAATCAACGGACAAGTCGATCACGCTGTCATCGTATCGTATGCGCATTAAAAAAATAAATCCTGTATAGAATCATAATTCTGTAGCAAATGTCAACGCATTTCAATGACGAATCAACCTTTCGCAGTATTTTTATTTTTGTAACACATATATCATATGCTTAACATAATGCCATACGTAAAACACGCGTTTTACGTATATTCGATTTAAATTAACTGTATTCATCGACAGATGTTATCGTTGCTGCTATTTTAAACACATACATATATTACATAAAAAAAATAAGTATAAATTCGTAACTATAATAATAAATCGTACTCGATTATCTCAAAAACAAAGTATGCATCTATTATATGAATAAATACATTTATACAACGTATCATAAAATCTTCGAATTAAATAATTTTCCACTTTTAAATAAATGTAGAAACATTTTTTTTAATTAATTAAATCAATTTTCGATTTATCCTTTTTTCTTACGTTTTACATTTATATCGTCATTAATGAACAATAATATCTAAATATAATAATCAAACCGAAAAGTACAAATGTATTAATAAGAAAGTAAAAAAGTAATTATTGATTTAGAGCCATGAATTGCTGGCG